AGTCCATCAGCTAAATGTTGTGCTCCAATATGTCCGACTTCATTGTGCGAGAGTACTAGTGTGGTGACTGTCTAAATAAAAAAGTATAAGTGAAGGCATGACATAGATAAAGAGAGAAAGACAGTTACTATGTTTTGTCGCAGTGCATCAGCCAAATGTTGCGCTCCAGCATCTCTAATTCGATTACCCCGGAGATCTAGTGTGGTGAGTGTCTAAATGAAACATTATAAGTAAAGACATGATATAGATACAGAGAGGAAAACAGTTACTGTATTGTGTCGCAGTCCATCAGCTAAATGACGTGCTCCAATATATCCGATTTCATTATATGAGAGACACAGTGTGGTGAGTGTCTGGATAAAACAGTGTATGTGAAGGCATGACATAAATAAAGAGAGAAAAACAGTTACTGTGTTGTATCGTAGCCCATCAGCAAAATATTGTGCTCCAATATCTCCAATTGTATTGTGATCTAGATCCAATGTGGTGAGTGTCTAAGTGAAAAAGTATAAGTGAAGGCATGAGATAGATAAAGAAAGTTACTGTGTTGTGTCGTAGTGCATTAGCTAAATGTTGCGCGCCAACCGGTGTGATTCCATTTTTCGCGAGATTGAGTGTGACGAGTGTCTAGGTGAAAAAGTGTAAGTAAAAGCATAGTATAGACAAAGGGAGAAAAACTGTTACAGTGTTGTGTCGTAGCCCAGCACCCAAATGTTGTGCTCTAACATCTCTGATATCAGCGTACTTGAGATTTAGTGTGGTTAGTGTCTAGATGAAAAAGTGGAAGTAAAGACATGGTAAATGTGATCGAACGAAGTAGTTGGCCAATGTTATGTGGATTTAGATAAATGAAATAAACATTGGTAAGACTCCAATGAAAAGCACAGGAGTATGTGTCTAAATACTTCTTTGAATTTAGATTCTGTACAATGATCATGATTGTTCAATAAAGTGCTGAGTTAAAAAGAAGTTAGAAAGGATTGCGTATATATGCGTTGAAGTTTCTGATGTATCAGTTACTTTAATTCTTAAATTTTTTTTGTGAAAGAAGGAGAACGTTAAAGGTTATAAATAACAGTATGTCAATTGTTTCTGCGGAAAATAATTATAAGTCATGCACGGCCTGTTTGTATCGAGTACGTATTGGAAAAATATAGTTTCACACCAGCAGTCTGTTGGTGTATTTCGTTCATATTTATCGAAGAACTAAAGATGTGTTTCGCATGAGAACTTCGTTTGAGTGATCTGATTTGGCTAAATGAATGTGTATGGATCGTGTTGGTAACAATATTCGTTGATTTCGGTAAGTACCTTCGATGACACCACACGCTTATGTGCATAAAACAATATTGATTGATAAAAACAGAAGAGTTAAAGAATTTATTTGATAATGTCAGATTTTTAAGGAATGAAGGGGAAGTGCACATGTATAAACATCAAATTATAAATATCTCTTACGAAGTGTACTCAATGTTTTATTTTGGTAATGAATTATTCTTGAGATTTTGGTTTTGGAAAAAAATTCTTTAGATGAAAAATGTTCTGGGGGCAACGTATTTGAAAAAAAAATTGATTTGTAAGTAGCGTTTCTTGAGCAAACGTTTCACTTTGTTAGTATAATTGTAATTAATGTGATTGGATGAGAGTGTCAATGTTGCTGTGAGGCAATCTGCTCTCCATCCATATTCGCCGTTGCGTATAGTCAGAGTCACTCATGTTCTCAGGGGAGCATTTGTCAGAGATACTTCTTAGGTGAATTTCTGAGACGTTATTTATAACAAGATAAACTAGCTAGTTTGAAGATTATTAACTTCTTTGAAAATATTACTTTTATTATTGAAATAATAATAAAAAAGTGTTTTGGTGAGACTGAAACGATAAAAAATACACTATTTTTTCTAATTATCAGGCAATTATTTTCGAAAGAGATTAATAGGTGATAAATTAGTTTAAGTAAGAAATAGTTTATTTAGATGCGTCTTATTAAAGTTATTCTATTTGTATATAGACTATAGAAATAAAAAATAATTTGTGAGCCAATAGACGAAAATTAGACTATCATGATAGAAAAAAGTTTACCTGATATCGATGATAGCTGTTTAAGATCATATTAAACCGTTGACATACATTGGTCATTGAGCATAATATTGTCAGATATGACTGATTATCCAGAATACGGTAGACAATTTCCACTGGTATTGTATGAAAGTTCGCGACAGTTTGATTTGCCATTCTTGAATGTTGATGAAATGCGTGCTGCTTAGTTTAATACGTTGCTTATATAATGTGTTATTTTTTTTCTTCCTATTTAATGAATAAATGTTTGTTTTGCCATTGGCTTCACATAATGTTGCAATTTCTTTGGTTATTTGTGGGAAGAAAAAAAACAAAAAAAATGACGTCAAGTACAAAATGACAGAATAACAACTTTGAGGTTCTCATAAAATTCACAACATTCAGAATTATAGTAGAATAAAGACAAATTTATATTATCGAAATCGAGAATTTAAACTGTCATATATTGAAAGAATACTGATGATTCATTATCTGTTATCAGCTGCGTAACATTTGTTAGAAAAAAATGACGCTTAACTTTGACTTTTCTTTTTCGTTTTTAATTATCTCGAAAGTTAAAAAAGTCAAAATCGAAAAACGTGTGGTATTAGTTCGATTTTGATATATTAATCTCGCGTTTAAACGAGTATTTTCTGATGCTCCGTTCTTGAGATAATCCCGGCACAAAATAACAATTTTGAAGGTGGGAATCGAGAAAGGAAGAAAACTCGTGAAGGACTACATAAATGCTTTGCTTCGCATCGCATTAATTTGTTTACTTGTTTTTACATTAACAAATATTTTTGCGCGAAACAATACCATATAAAAGATTCTCTTTCTTCAACGATGCATCTACATTTTAATTCAAGTATTCTTGATTATATTCATCTTGTACCACCAAGTTGGTCAATTACAACAATTGCAATGAAAATTTGTTCGATTCTATTTCTATTTCTTGATTTTGATAAAACAAATCGTCTTGAAGAATATCATATTCATGCATTACTTATTTACCTTACAAATATACATAAAAATCAAACATCTACACTATTTTATAAATTAGGTATATGTTAAATGAGATAATTTAAATCAAAAACATTTTCTCTTTTCGAAAGATCTTGATCGATCTGGTGTTATGGATTTAGAAGAATTTTTTCTTTTAATTACACTTCTTATAGCAAATAAAGTATAAGATAAACTTTTCTATTTATAAACATGTATTTATATTTCCTAGGATAAAAAAGAAAAAGAATTTATGCATGCACATTCTAAAACTGTTTTTGAATTACTTGATGAAGATAGTTCGGGTACAATAACAGTTGAAGAATTTCAACGTCTTGGATTTTTATTTAATCTTGATAATAGAGAAATTCGTTTTATATTTAAAGATTTCGATATTAGTGGTGATCATGCTCTTGATTATTCAGAATTTCGTATGTTTACATTAGCTTGTATTAATAAACAAAAATCTATGAAGAAAAAACGTTTTAAAATGTTACTTCAACGTCGTTTTAGTTTTCTTGCAAAACAACGACAATCTATTCTTAACTATATTAATAAAACAATTAATGAATGTGTTCCGTAAGTCCTTCTATTTCTTACTAAATATCAAAAAACTCATTTTTTTTGCAGAGGTTTGATTG